AGTTGCATCAAAACAAGCAACTTTTAAAAAACAGAAAGTCTTATAACAGAAAGCATTAACCTGAGACCCCAAATAGAGAAAACCCTTTATCTGAGGCAAATGGTGAAATGTGAGGATTCAGAAACTAGAAATAAACGACAGCAATAAACTCTGCGGAACAGAGAACCTCAACAACACAAAGGTGCACACTCCCAAAGCCTGAAAACAAAGCAAGGTTATATACCCAATTACTAACTCACAGCATGCCAGATCTGTGTATGTAACAAAGCATGGCAAATCTGAGGGGGAAAAATCGATAACAGAATTTTAGAGATGACACCAAATAAATCAGTTAGCCCAAAATCCTTATTTCACAAAGAGGAAACTCAGGCACAGAGAGTAAGTAGCTTCTTAATGTCAGACTGGCGTTAACAAGGAAAACAGACAAAGCTGGCCAGTAAGAGCTGCATGAAAATAGTAGTTCTTTTGTATTTAATGAACCACATACATGATAATAAGGTTAAACGCATACCAGGTTGTATACCACAGGACACTGTACTTAATCAGGAGACTCAATCACAAGGGCAAGGTAGGTTTTGTCTTGCTGGAGTGTAAGCTTCTTGAAGGCAATTTTCCTTGCACTAAATAAATGTTTACTGAATTTTCATTTCTAAAACTATATTCTTAAAACAACAATACTACAACTCTGTGTATGTCTGTGTGTATGCTGCACCATTTTGTTCTCTGGTTAAGAAACGCTGAAGACTTAGGTACGCTTTAATGGATAAAAGCAAGTCAGTGTTTGAATATAAACTCTAAATACAGTATTTTCCATCCTCCTTGACCAAAAAAAGTAAAACACACACAAAAAAAACCCCAAAGACCCAACTGCAAAGACCTTTAACAAATATACCAACTTAAAATATAGGCATGACAAATAACTCTAGCTGCTTTGTTTGGAAAGTGATATAACAGGGAAGTCTTAATGAGACCTTCAAGAATCATTCCAGAGATAGCACTTGTTTTCCTTGGCTTCTAAAAAGATAAAAGGAAGACACAGCATTTGAGGCTTAGTGGATTAATGCTGATTTTATTTTTTCACCTCTGGAGTGTTAGATTTAAACTGTATATGGCCTCTGTTCAATTTTTGAGTGGGCACAGGTCCATGTTCAAAAACCACCACACATGTGGGAACTATTCCCAAGCAATTGGTGCTGTGTGGTCAGAAATGGGACAAGATTGGCAGGAAGGGTGCCAGAGGCCAGGACGCAGGTGCATACACAGCCGCACACACAAGTCCTAAAACCTGCATGTGTTTGAGTCATACCTAACTTTTGGATGAGTATGGTTGGTTATTACTTTTCATGAGCATTAAAGACAAACAAACAAAAAAATCAACATGGCCCACTTCTGCTGTTAAAAAAAAATGAATTGACACAACATAATAGCATAAACAATTTTACCATTCTATTATTAAGTACTGTACTGTTTTCTTAAATCTTGTGCCTGAACCAACCCAGACGCCCATTAAAATGGGAGATATAGCAAAGTTCTCTTTCCAGGTCCCACTCATGAAAGTGTTCTGGCTCAGGCCCTTTATCCCTCTCCTTGAAAGAAGGAAAAAAGCTTTTAATTCCAAGATATAAAAATAAATCAAATGATACTTTTAGCCACCACGCTTCTTTCTTATCATGGAAGACAAGCTATAAATCCTTGTCTTTAGTGTCAAGAGTAGAAAGTGTCACACCCAGCAGTTCCATGGGACTTCCAAATCAGCTGGTCGCCTTCATCACCCATACCCATTTTCTAAAAAGCACCTGGGAATACGCTGACAAGGCTCAGCAATGTGCAGAATATTAAATATCTTTCTTGCAATACACCGGTGGCTCAAGTCTGTCTCTTACTGGGCCATATGTATAGCTGTGCTGCAAAAGGAAGCTATTAACTATATTAAAAAACTAGAAATATTACGAATAAAGAGATCTCATCAAATATGTGGTCTCCATTTATCCACAAATATTAGGGATTTAATAACCTGAAAATCACTTTGAATGCAATAACATCACAAGCACTGTTGATAACATTTAACCGCATTTTCCTCCCCAAAAGTTCTAATCCATTTTTTTTTAGTAGCCAATAGAGAATTTCTGTAGGGAGACGATGATATTAGAGTATTGCTTACAGACAAATTTATTGTAACTGTGATGTTGCCAAAGATAAGGAGTAAAACAAGAAGAAACTTTAAAAGTGTATTCCATCTTCAGAATCCCTGGGTTCACAGTCGGGCCTACTTTCATTTGGAACATTTATATTACAGAGAAAGCCTGTAGTATATCATTCATTAACACTAAAAGTACTGTAAATGCAGTATCAAATTTGAAGATGCAATAAACTTAAAAAGCTTACATTCAAAACACTTCTAAATATTATTTAGTCAGGTCATCCAGAATTGGCAATTTGAAATAAATTAGTCAGTGATTATCCATTTTTCAGTTTAAATTTGATGAAGAACTCCTCAGAGGTAACTGAATGCTATTTCATAGCTATCAATCAGTATTATTAAAATCACTGATATATATTCAACTTTACACTTTATTTAAAGCGTTTTTTCTCCTTCTAAAATATTTTCATCTCTTCAGTTTCCTCTGGCATTCCTAGTATTACTTACCTCTCTACCCTTTTACCTTACATATATTAAACCTTTAGGTCCTTAGGTAAAGACCTGATTAAAAAAAAACACTTTTTCAATAAAAGCAAAAATTTCGATCAAGAGAAGTCTGCAGGAAGGTATGTATAGAAAAACCATGACATGGTTGTTTTAAAATATAAGAAAATAACATGATCTTCAAGAAAGTTTTTAAAAGTGTAAATATCAGTTATAACAGCAAAACTATTTTTGAAATGTTACATCCCCTTATAAATTCAACCTGTATTTTTCTCCCATTAATTCCATCCACTTCAAACATTCTTTCAGACTAATTATAAGTTTAAAAGAGGGGTATCACTATCGCAGAAAACATATCATTTTTCAATTTAAGACATAGTATCCTAGTTTTAACTTATATTATGGTTTTTTAAATTCGAATATATCTAACCTAAGCTTGGAAGTCATATTAAAAAGTCCATGTTTTTATTGAATATGTCATTTCATCACCAGAATTCAATCACTGTCTCCAATCTGATAGCATTTAATATGGTCTAAACACACTGGCTTTGCAGAGCTAACTTTGAAGTAACTATGTTCAAGAATGAGGATGTCTGTACATACTTTTAAAACTTTTTTCTTTTAATAGCTTTAGACTTCACCACGATGTACTGACCCTGAAATCTGAGCTGAAATAAAAGCCAACAATGTTTATGATGCTGAAATAAAATATTGAGTTCTAAATTTGGTAATTCACCACTTGACAGCTTCAGAGTTCAACTACAAAATAAAATATATACATAAATATATATAAAGAGAGAGAAGAGATTTACTTTTCTGATGTTCCATTTTCTGAAAATTGTAATGTTTAAAGATTATAATAATTTAAATTGATCAACAACACTATGGCCCAGTCCTCTTATAAGTAGTGAAACAATGTTAATTTACTTAAAATCCTGCGCAAAATATTCAATTATTGAGGATGTTTACCTCAAACGAGAGTAACGGATCATTAGACTCCACTTTAAAAAAAAAAGTGTCTTCACAAGGGCTATTTTTACTTCAGATTTATGCAAATTTGGTGCTTAAAACTGGGTCATATTTCAGTCCAAAAACCAATGCCCCAAGTAGACAAATAATTTCCAAGAACAGAAAATCCATTCAGATAATAGTTAAGCTCCCCCCAATTCAAAATAAATTACATAACTTACTCTGTTTTCCTTCTTTGTTTGTCCTCAAAGATGTCATTGAGATTGATGGCCACCTGCCCTAAAAACTTATCCAGACCCACCAGGGACCTGTGCATAACTATGAGGAAAAGGATGTATTTCTCTGGATTCCCCTGCATTAGCAGCCCAGGTAGCTCAAAAGAGGCCTCTTCCTTCCAGACTGGCTCAAGGGTTTTCTCAGCTACAGAGGTGGAGTACTTTTCCTTTCCCAGCTGAATTATAGTGTATGTGTCATTGGTGCCACTTTTGCCTTTTGGCTTAAGATCTTTGGCTTGGAGCACGGTGACCTGCACATGGGTCGGAAACCACTTTTGGGCTTGCTCGGAGAGCATCATTCTGTCCTTTTTCTCTGCACCAAGTTCACCAGCGCAGGAAGAGCCCCTCCCGCAGGGAGAGCCTGATGTCTTGATCACTGCATCCTAAGGGCACTTAACGGAGGCAGGCAAAATCACAGCTGCCCGACTCCCTCTAGGGCTGAGGTCCAAACGCCTGGCTGGGGCAGCCCAGGGACACGGCTGCTCTGCAGCGGGGAGGGTGGGGGGTCCCCTTTCCTCTGGAGAAACACAGGGGCCCAGCATCACCTGGCCGCGCCGTCCAGGCCTCGCGTCCGCACCTCCACGCTCCGCCGCGCCCCTCCTCGCCCCGGGACGGGCCCTAGGCAGCGGCGGGCGGCTCCCGGGCCTGCCAGGCAGGGGAGGCCCGGCTGCCAAGGCCCCGGCGGAGGGCGGCGGAGGAATGGAGTGCGCCCCCACGCCCTAATTCTCAGTCTCCGGCCTCCCGCCGGCCTCCTCGCCACCGGGGCGCCCCCCTCCCGCCTCCTCCGCGCCTCCCGCTCGCCCTGCGCGAGTCCGTGCGGGCCCGGCCGGGCTCCTCCTCCCGACCCCGGTAATACGAACCGCCGCCGGCTCGCGCGGCCTCGCTCCCTCTAGCAAACCTCTCCCTCCTCCTCCCCCACACCTCGGCTCCTCCTCTCGGGCGGGCGTGAGGGCGGGGGCCGATCGCCCGGGGCGGGGTGTTGGCGGCGGCACTTCCGGGTTGTCCTTCTCCATGTTGGTCTCGAGAATGCAACGGGGCGGGGCCGGGCGGGGCCCGGGGGTCAAGGGTCAGCACCTCCCTGGTTGCCTTGGTGACCGGGGGCGTGCCTCGCGGGAGCCCGGGAGAGCTCAGCGCCGGTATATTGAGTGTCAGTCCTGCTGGTTCGCGCCAACTTGGGGCTTGGCACTGCGCTGGGCGCTGGGGAAGTGGGGACCTGCAGGAGCTGGCAGTCGGGAGGCGGGGGATGCCTCCGGGAGGCCAATCCAAGAGGAGGCAGCCAAGGCCCGGAGCCTGCCTGGTCTTGGGAGAGACCCATTTTCGATCTTTGGAAGCCGTCTTTGCTGTACCCTGGGTGCCTAGTATCTGGCACCGAGCGGACATCGGATGAATGATGGTAAAATGAATCAGTCACTTTCATAGGCCGAAAACATACTTTTTCCCACCCCCCTTATCCACGTTTCTATTTTTGAAGAGAGAAGGCTGTTGATTGACTGAAATGACATCCCCAACTCAAATGGCAGTAGAGGGAAGCAGATGAAAGACTTCAAAGTGACTCGGGGGTTAATTCATTATATCCCAGGAGGCACTGGGCTGAGTCCGGAAACCTGGCTCTGATCCCACGTCTCCCACCATCAGACTGTATGACCCTGGTCAGGTCATTTCCCCTGTCTGAACCTAGGTTTCTTCGCAAGCAAAACACGTCTCCATCGTGCCTGAAACTCTATGGACTCAACGTCCAAGGACCCCCTGGGCACTCAGTCTGGTAGTCTGCCTAACTTCAGAAGCCAAACCCAGAGGTGATTCTGGTCGTATTCAATGAAGTCGGCTAAGAAAAGCAAACAACCTCCTTCACCAAGGGGGGGATGACAAGTTCTTTACCTGCCCTGAGGGCAAGGCCTGATGGACACTGGTACTGTGTTAAGAGAAAACAAATGGAGATGTGCTAATACTGCATTTTTTCCAAAACCATTCTAACCTAGCAGGAGAAGGGTAGGTAATGACTGATAAGTCAGGAGCCTTGTTTGATGTCCTGACTGCCAGAAATTCCTGTCCAGAGCTCATGATGAGCACTTAGCTTCCTGAGACAAAGAACTTAGATTCTGGGAGCCTGGATTTCCTTGTTCATAAATTGTCCAGAAGATTGCTACTACAGAGTTAGGAGGGTATTAAGAGATAATTCATGGACATTTCCTGGCATAGTATGGAACATAATTCTAAGCCTGCCTTTGTCCCTCTATTTCTCTATTACAGGAGATATTTATATACTACACTTATTGTATTCTTCCCCTGGTGGCTCAAATGGTAAAGAATCTGCCTGCAATGCTGGAGACCTGGGTTTGGTCTCTGAGTGAAGAAGATCCTCTGGAGAAAGGAATGGCTACCCACTCCAGTATTCTTGCCTAGAGAATTCTGTCGACAGAGGAGAATAAACTGGCAGGCTACAGTTTATTGTATTTACTTCTATTTATGTCTTATCTTGCCAAGGCAAGTGGAATCTCTTTGGATTGTCCTGTGTATCGTGGATCATCCCTTCAGAGTGCTTAGCAGGCAATAGACAGTTGTTGAATAACTCAGTGCCTTTCTCCATTTACAAGACTAATTTTGAGAGTAAAACAGTACGCTAGAGGTGCATACATATTTCCAACTCTAAATGACTACAAAAGTGTAAAGTATTATGTTTATTGTTTTCAGGTGAGGCTTGAAATGTTCCCACTTGAGAAGAACATTGTATTCTCCATGTGTTTTTTTTTTTTTTCTTCCCTCAGTGTCCCCATGGATAATAGCTGCAGAACTTAAAACTCTTTAAGAAACAAGGTCTTTTCATATTTTTTGAGTGGAGATTTGGGAGAGTCCAATACATTTGTGTCAGAAGAACAACCATACAGTTGAAAAACCTTGGGAGGAGGGGGGATAACATTATATATTATTTAAATCTTGCAGAAAGAAGGTACTGGCTTGAGCCTAAAGAAAGTGAAAGTGAAGTGAAAGTCACTCAGTCATGTCCAACTCTTTGTGACTCCATGGAATTCTCCAGGTCAGAATACTGGAGTGGGTAGCCTTTCCTTTCTCCAGGGGATCTTCCCAACCCAGGGATCGAACCCAGGTCTCCCGCATTGCAGGTGGATTCTTTACCAACTGAGCCACCAGGCAAGCCCTGAGCCTAAAGAACAATACCACAAATCTCAAAGCCTGCTCATGTTGCAGCACGTTCTTTCAGGGACCCACTGACACTTGCTGATATCTATAGATTTCATTTATTGGCAACCATAGTTTTTTTGGTACTGCTTACGTGCAGCGACTGGTGAGAGTTCACCATGAAGTAGGCTATCTAAAAAGAGATGTTAGATTAATTTATTGGTGTTTAGTCGCTAAGTCTTGTCCGACTCTTTGCAAACTCATGACCTGTGGGTTGCCAGGCTTTGCCTGTGGGATTTTCCAGGCAAGAATACTTGAGTGGGTTGCCATTTCCTTCTCAAGGGGGTCTTTCTGACCTAGGGATCAAACCCTTGTCTCCTGCACTGGCAGGCGAATTCTTTACCACTAAGCTACCAGAGCAGCCCTAGATTAATTTACCACCAGGATATTCAGGGAACCAAACTACAGATAAATCTTGAATCATCTTGAGTCATCTAAGATGAAAAGACCTGGTTTCAGGTCATTCTGATGAAAGTTAAAATCTAAAAAAGAGGCAGAATTTTCCATCTCTGAGAGACAGTCTGTGAAAAAGCCATGTGTGGAAAGCAGAACAAAATCATCATACTGTAAATATTGCATCTGGATTCCAGAGTGGGCAGTTGTTAGCCTTAAAGAAAAATATTCTGAGGAATTTTTAAAGAGTGCATTGGAATAATCAAGGGTGGAATTTCAACCAGGTTGTCTGGGGAGAAGTCAATTGACACCTGAAACTTACAAAAGCAAAACAAACATCATAAAAATAAATTTAAGTTTAGAATTGTTATAAATTGCATTTTAAAAAGTCTTCTCTATTAAAAGCTGTAATTAAGTAAGCAATAGGCAACTGATTACAATAGTGAATGTGTGTTTCTAAAGAGCTTAAATTGTTTGGTAAGCTTTATAATGATTACAGACTTGTTTACAAGTATCATTTCATTCATCTGAAATATAGCCATCTCTAGGGTGGAAGTTGGCAGTTATGGTTCACAGCAATGTAGTAACACACTCTAACACAATTCAGGGAATACTTTAAAGGCAACAGCTGAACAACTGGAATTACTAACATCTCTTCCTGTTACACCTAAGTTTCTTTTGAGTTTTCCCAAAATTTGGCCAGAGCCAAAATTGTTCAGTTTTACTATCTGGCAAGTTCACAAATTATGACTTAATGTTCTGAGCCATAATAAGAAAATAGTTTATTTTTGCCCCAGAGGAAGCAAATAAACAAGCAAATCAAAATGAACTAAAGAGAGTCTTAATTGCATTTGTAAAAGTGATTTCCCATAAGAAAGATTCTTTTCTTTTTTGATTATTTGTATTAAGAGTAAAAACATGTCAGTCGGGTCAAATACATGGTTGGCTCATTGTGAAATATAATGGTAATTATGCAAGATCTGAGATGAAAGTAGTTCTACAAAAATGTTTATTGTCTTACAGTTTAAAGGTACTTTTTACTAATTGAAAGATATACATGAACCATAGTTTAGACAGGGAAAAAGGATTGCATATGTTGTAAGGACAACATAACTTATGAATGGATGAGAGTCACTTTTTAAAGTTATCCTATGACTAATGATATGTCTAGAAATGCTTGGTGAAATTCCAAAATTAAGGGTTTGGGAAAATAACATATCATAAAAGAGGAAAATGCTGAAATTTCTGTTAACAATACAGCTACAATGAATAAGAACTACTTGTTCAGAAAGTACAAATAATACTCTCCAGTAGTGGAGGATTTCATAGATGAAAATATATACTAATGCTGCAGCTTTAATAAAATCCCACAAGGAGACTTATGCTAAACTTCATTGTGAAGATCCCTACCCCTTCTTTGGGCATCAACATCTTTAAAATTGAGACTTAAATATCTATTATAGGACAATTATAGTGCTCTTAGTTTTTAAATAGCACACATATACATTGCATAACGTTTACATTACATAACAGATATTGTTTTTCATGTGGAGGTTCAGAGACACACGGCCACAAGAAGCTTTCCTGATGTATCATTATAGTCTTCAGATACACACACACACACACATGCTGCAAATATATATACAACACAAATATATATATAAAATTTATACATATATATGTGCATGCTAAGTCGCTTCAGTTGTATCCCACTCTTTGTGATCCTGTGGACTGTAGCCTGCCAGGTTCCTCTGTCCATGGGATTCTCCAGGCAAGAACACTGGAGTAGGTTGCCATGCCCTTCTCCAGGGGATCTTCCTGACCCAGGGTTTGAACCCACTTATGTCTCCTGCATTGATGAGGGAGTTCTTTACCACTAGTGCCACCTGGGAAGCCCTTGTACACACACACACAATATGGCAAAACTCAGAATTATGTTAGAGATTTGTACATAGAGAATCTCCACATAATCAGTTGAAAAGTAACTTGCAAAACTGATTTGAAATTATAATTGCTATAAACTAGTATTGGGGTTTTTGGTGATTGTCTTGTTTTCATCACTGATTACTTTGTCTCTGGGATTGGACAGTGTAGGACACAGTTTGTGATGCAGGAGAAGCAGTGTGGTGTGTAGTTGAAAGTGCTCTAGTCAACAGCCTGGGTCTTAATCCCAGGGCTGCCTATTACAAGTTTCATATCTTTAGGGACGTCATTTTCCTTCTTTGGACCTCTGTTTAGTCATTTGTAAAGTAAGAGTCTTTAACAGGAACAACTTAAAGCATTCTCTATCATTTAATAATTCTAAGTAGTCCATCCAGAACACAAGGAGCTAAATTGCATTGTCATTGTCTAATTGAATTTGCTTGGTATACTAAAGCAGATTCCCCTTTTTATGTAATTTATTAATAAAAGATCTTCTAATTTAGCAGAAAAAGATCTCTCTCTCCCAAATGAAATTAATCATTACATAAAGGAAGTAAATATAACTTGTGTTTATAGACCCTGCATGAGGAAATTGACACTAAGAACTCAAGATTTGAAAGAAATTACATAAAGGTGTAAGGGATTTTGAAAAGTCTTAAACTTTTCATTTATAGAAATAAACATAATTTCTGTTCATATTACAGGTTTTTCAGACTATGAAGACATGCTGAGAAGGGTCAGAATTGTGGACCAGGATACATATTTGTATGTAAAAATGTTTTATATGGATGCTTTTTAAAATTTCCCCTTCATAGTATCATACTATTATGTTACGCAATTTTTGTTGCCTCATCAAAGTCAACTGAGTGACTTCAGGTTTCCTTGGTGGCTCAAATGGTTAAGAATCAGCCTGCAATGTAGGAGACCCAGGTTCGATGCATGGATTGGGAAGATTTTGCAAATACACAGGTATTTGTCTTCAAGTGGTGATTATCTCATTGTCATGAGCCTTGCTGAAATCTTCCGGAACATGGTTACTTTTCTGGATTTATGTGAAGTTAACAAGGACTGGATCATACTTGATTATTGCTGAAAGGTTTATCAGACTAGCATAAACTTATCATCCTTGTACTTTGTAAACAGCTGATGATATTTTTTCATGACCAGTTAAAATCAAAGATGGAGGATTTTAAAAAGCAAATAAAGGATTAGAATGACAATATTTCTGAAACTAACTTAGGTGTTCCTTTGGAGAGCATTAAACTGGTGAGCAGCTAGCAAAAGCATTTGGTGGGATAATTTTTTCCCCCTTCATAAGATCTAGCGCCCTTTCTCCCTTTCTACTTATTTAATCTATACAAAGCAAAGTAGAAGACTTTAAAAGTAGTGTTATTTTTGTGTGTTTGATATAAAACAGGGTGAAAAGTGTTGCATTTTGAAGGACAGACCCAACACTTCTTGTCCCAAGGTCAGAATTCAAACTATTTCTGCTAAGCAGTTTTCAATCAGCCTGAACAGTATTTTAGTCCATCTGAATGTCTGATAATAAAGGTAGTTTGGGCTTAGAACCAGGTGCTTATCTTTTACATGGTCTGGATTAGGTCACCTTCCAAGCACTTACAGTTTATGATTCAGGGACAGACGGTTTTGAACCTGTATTATAATCATTTTCTCATCATTGAAATGATCTCTGATGATCTATGTAGCCAAAATTAAGCATCAGAGTTAGACAGGGCTTCCTGGTGGCTCAGACAGTAAAGAATCTCTCTGCAATCCAGGAGAACTGGGTTTGATCCCTGGGTTGGATCCCCAAGGTCCCCTGGAGGAGGGCATAGCAACCCACTCCAGTGTTCTTGCCTGGGGAATCCCCATAGACAGAGGAGAGTCCATGGGTTTGCAAAGAGTCAGACATGACTAAGCACACACAGCACAAGGTTAGTTTGGCAATGTAGACTGGAAAGCAATACTTGCTTCCAGAAAGTGAGGCGATAATGGCAGGGGCACTGAATGGAGAAGGGCAATCTGTCTTAGCCAACCAATGGTGTGTGTGACCTTAAGCAACTTAAATTCTTCTTTAGTAAAATAGCAGCCTGTAAATTTCTTCTACTTCCAAACCTGGATCTCAGATTATCTAGAACAGCTTCCCAGTAGACTCAAGTCAGTCTTCTACTGTGGTTGTTGATCAGGCTTATCTAGAAGAATAAGGTATTTAGATTGTGTAATTTGTACTGATAACTATGCTCTTGTAACCTGAGTTCTTAATAAAAATTAAGGATGTTTATTAAGAGAGTAGCACTGAAACATACACATTGCCATATGTAAAATAGATAGCCAATAGGAATTTGCTATATGAGGCACCGAGCTCAATCCAGTGCTCTGTGACAACCTAGAGGGCTGGAATGGGGTGAAAGGTGGGAGGGGGAGGTTCAAGAGGGAGGGGCCTTATATACACCCATGGCTGATTCATGTCGATGAATTTACACAATGTTGTAAAGCAGTTATCCTCCAATTAAACATAAATTTAAAAAATAAACTAAGGAAGTTTAAAAAAAAGAAACAACTCCTGTCCAAGCTGCAAAGTACATTGCTTGATTTTCTAAGCTCAAGTTTTGACTAAATCATCATTGTAATTTCAGGGTTTTTGTTTCTCTTTGCTTATATACATTTGAACACTAAAGGAATGGGACAAACCAGCTTTGTAAACATGAAGTCTGGAGCATGAGACATCTTAGGAATCAAGGGCTGCAACATTTTCTAAAGCAAGATTTTCTCCAAAGTTCCTGGCATACACTCACTCAGATGGAAACATTTACTCAGCTTTCACTGAGTGCCCATCCCAGGAAAGGTTTTGTCTCCTGGGTGCTAACTACTAGTGTGACCTTTGGAAAATTATGTAAACTCTCTAAATTTAGGCTTCCTCATCTGCAAAAGGAGTTGTTGGGAGGATGAAATGAGGGGTCAGGTAAAGTTCAGGGAAGAACTGGCATACAGGAAATGCTCAAAAGATGTTCACTGCTGTTGGGTTGGTGGTGTAATTCCACTTCTCTTTGCAACAGTTTTCCTGAAATCTGAAGGCAACAGCCAGCAGCACAGTTGTTCTGGACTATTCTTCACCGAGGAGTTAAGGATCTGGAGCTGCAGCTGGTGGGAACTCCCTACCAGGTAAAGAATCCTCCTGCAATTCAGGAGTCTCAGGAGATGTGGGTTCGATCCCTGGGTTGGAAGATCCCCTGGAGAAGGGCATGGCAACCCACTCCAGTATTCTTGCCTGGAGAATCCCATGGACAGAGGAACCTGGCGGGCTACAGTCCATAGGGTCGCAAAGAGTTGGACACGGCTGAAGCGACCTCACACACTCACACAGCTGCAGCAGGAGCCTCACTAGCTCAGTGCGTGAGAGTAAGCCAGTGGAGACCCTGTGTTACTTCAGTTTCAAGCCAAACCCAATGTTATCAGACACTTTTTCCAAATAAAAATAAAATAACTCCTTAATATTCAGACCTTCATTTAATATTTAACATTAACTTTTAAAAGTGTCATTTTAACAACTTAATTAGATTTTGAGTTGCAGAAAAATAATGAAGACTCCCTAAATTATGTAACTTCTTTCTCTGCAAGTAGCTGAATTAGAAACTTAATAGATCATGTACCAGAAAGTATTTTAATATATTAGATTTTTACTTAGAATTGTGATCAATTTAAAAACAAAAGCATGGCATCCTTTGGTACACCTAGTAACATAAACATTCAGTGACTGATCAGTGTTTTCAAAGTTCCACATACCACTCTAATTTTAAGTATATTATCTTTATATTAGGGCCTCTCCAGTGGCTCATCAGTAAGGATTCTGCCTGTAATGTAGGAGACGTGGGTTTGACCCCTGGGTCAGGAATATCCCCTGGAGAAGGAAATGACAACTCACTCCAATATTCTTGCCTGGAGAATTCCATGGACAGAGGGTCCTGGTGGGCTACAGTCCATGGAGCCACAGAGTCAGACATGACTGAGTGACTAACACTTTTAATTTCTAATATTCTTGCCTGGAGAATCCTATGCACAGAGGAACCTGGTGGGCTAAAGTCCATAGGGTTTCAAAGATTTGGACACAACTGTGTGACTGAGCATTCATGCATCTCTATATTGATAATAATAATAGCCACTATTGGCTGATTGCTTACTTTCTGCTAAATTCTTTAACATCACATACTCATTTAATTTGAAAGAGATAAAGCTACAACCAACATAAACATCAATCACCTTTTTTTTTTCCTATCCCATCACAAAGAAGAAGCAAGGTTGTAAGGGAGACTGTTCTCTCAGGCACTGCTCATATCAGGATGAGACAGAACACTTGGAAACCAAATTCTTCATATCCTTAGAGCAACTCTTGTACTTCAGTTGGCTTTAAGCATTATCGTAGCATCCTTGACACAATCCCAGAGCCTAACACTGCCTTAGTGAAAGCACAGAGGCAAGCAAAAGAATCAATCTATTTTGTAACACCTGGCATACTCTCTGAAGCAGCAGCCTTTACTGTGGTGTTTGTCATCCATAAACTGCAGGAGATGAGATTTCCCTGGTGGTCCAGTGGTTAAAACCTCTGCACTTCCACTGCAGGGGATGTGGGTTTGATCTCTGGTCCAGGAACTAAGATCTCCACAGCCCTCTCGGGCATAGCCGCCCCCCACCCCCCAAATAAAGGTATGCATAAACTGCAGAGGGATCAACATGTATCAGTGAACCCATCCATTGGGGAAAAAGTCACTTTTGACATCACTTCTGCTTTCATAACCCAATGGTGGGAAGTTGTTGGGTTTTCATTCATAAAACTAAGGTTCACATACCACCTTAATCCACTAATTATGTTTGTTAGACATTTGCCAGAGAGTAAACTGCAGCAGTGTATGGAAAACCATGCTGTAAACTGTAAAGAATTTTATAAATATGAAATTTTATACTTGTGTACCTACTAGCATTTTAGCATCAATAGTTAGATGAGTTGGACAGTTTGAGACCCAAGAAAATTCTACCTTACCATCATTCAAATTAAGTTCAACTCAATTAAATTTATAAAGTAATGAATAAATAACTTAGCCACATGGATAAATGTATGTGATGGGTCAAATATATTGACAGAATATACTGTATTTGGAAAGACTAAATATAAATGTATTGTGGAATGAAAACCCCCATACCCTCTTGGAAAAACACACCTTAACAGACCCTTGTGGCTGTAGGGTTGATAATACATTAATACCATCTTCCATGCTTCTCATTCTTAGTTATACAGAGTCCCTTTGAGACTTTCCTCCTAGTTTGAGGAAGAGCCAGGCTTACAAAGCTAAGGTCCAGCATCAACTTTGCCATGTCAAAGTAACCAGTAAGGGAGGAGGTAACAAAAGCCATGGTTTATGCAGTAAATAAAAAATGTTGGAAGAACACAATTGGTGAAAGAATTAGACTGGACAAAGATTTTACTGGTCAGGGAGAAGGGAAAACAAATAAGAATACTTGCACAGAAGGTCAAGCTTGTTGGATATTTTTTAATGCCTCTGTGACATTTCTCTTCTCTCCCTTGTTGAGCATGAGTATTGGGCATATTGTTGATAAAACTTTCAGACCAAAAGTAGTTATAACTTGTATCCTGTTTTCCAGGAAGGTCCTTGAAAATGAGCTGGGTATTAGAGCTCCCCAATCCCTTGCACCATGCTGCCTTGGAGCAGCAGCGTAGCAAGAGAACATCAGGTCAGGTGGCCTCTAGACAGAGAAGATCCGAGGTAACCCGCTAAGCCTCTTGTTATCAGAGAGGCACCAGAAAATCTCTTGAGAATTTCATCTTCTCTAGAGAGGTGAGAAAATGACAAAGAAACCACTGGTCGACCTAAATGATCATCCAAGTCATGATTGGAAAGGTTTGGAGCACGTGGACCAAAGACCAGGAACTGACAATGATGGTGTACTCAGCTGCTCAGCTGTGTCCGACTCTTTGGGACCCTGTGGACTGTAGCCCGCTGGGTTCCTCTGTCCATGGGATTCTCCAGGCAAGAATACTGGAGTGGATTGCCATTTCCTCCTCCAAGGGATTGTCCCAACCCAGGGATTGAAGGGGTTGCATCTCACCCCTTGTCTTCTCAAGGTTTTGCATCTTCCATTATTCTTTCTCCCTCCTTCATCCTCAGCTATTTTCTTCTCTACTGGATCAAGTCTTGGCAATATCCATATTCTCTAATATCTCTCATATTATAACAACAATTGCTCAGAAAGTATATTGGTATACCCCAGGGGCTGGGGTGGGAGGGGGATTGGGACAGGACAAAGTTTCAGTTTGGGAAAGTGAAAAATTCAGGAGATGGATGATGGTAGTGGCCAAACAATGTGAATGTACGTAGTGCCACTTAACTATATAGTTACTATGCTTAAAAGAGTATGTTTTATGTTATGTGACTTTTACCACAATAGAAAACATTAAGAAAAAAAAAGCAAACAAATGAAGCAACAACAATGGCTAATTTGACCTTGTGTCCCCTCCAGGTACTACCCCACTTTTCTATTTCTTTTTGGAGAAAAACTTCCTGAAAGACTTGTCGCAGCTTGCTCTGTCTTTCTCCTATCTTCTCTTGAACCATGCTCCAATCAGATTTTTGTCTTTCCCACTCTACATGTATATGTTGCCAGGGTCAATTTTCAGTGTTCATCTTAAGCTAATTAGCAACATTTGGTACAGTTAATCACATAGCTTTCCTTCATTAGATAAAATTCAATGTTCAAATCTGGAAACAAAGACATCTTTAAGGAAGACCAAGGTTCAGAACAGTGGCTTACTCTGTTGTAATATTGGGTGTATTACAGGTTAATGTCATTGTGCCATTCGATGATTAGTAATNGCATTGGAGAAGGAAATGGCAACCCACTCCAGTGTTCTTGCCTGGAGAATCCCAGGGACGGGGGAGTCGTGGGCTGCCGTCTATGGGGTCGCACAGAGTCGGACACAACTGAAGCGACTCAGCAGCAGCAGCAGCAGCAACAGGGGACTTGGAGCTTGGACTTCAGGGATGAATATCTCTCTCTGTGTGTGTGTGTGTGTGGGTGTGTGTCACTCAGTCGTGTCCAACTCTTTGTGACTCTTAGCCCGCCAGGCTCCTCTGTCCATGGAATTCTCCAGGCAAGAATACTGGAGTGGGTTTACATTTCCTTCTCCAGGGGATCTTCCTGACCCAGGGATCAAACCCTGGTCTCCTGCATTGCAGGCAGATTCTTTGCCATCCGAGCCACCAGGGAAGCCCATTAATATCTGTATTCTTGCACTTTCTCTAGTTTGGTGTGATGTTAAGCATCTCATAGGCCCAAGTCAACTTTTCTTGAGGCAGGGCATATCAGAGTAGCTCTGACTCTATTCCTGTGGATGTGGCTTGATGGAAGGAGAGAGCTAGTGGGCCCCACAGTCTGTATAGGATTTCCACTTTATTAGGGATATAGGCAGAGCCAGTCCTCTTGGACTAGGCTGTTGTAGGCAGCTACAGTGAATGACATATAAAACATTAAAATACAGACATTAAAGACTTTTGGTGTGGTTCAAATTTCAGGGTCAAGCTTCATTTAGGAACAAAAATCATTTTACCTCTCAGCTTAAATGAAATAAAGTGTTCAAAATCACTAAACATATGCTCTTGTCATGTCAATGTTGTATGATTGAAGCACATATTATTCCAAGTATTTATTTCTATATTCTATTAATGTTTGTAGATTTTTTCTTTCAATTGTTAAACTAATAATGACTGCAAATTATAATTGCTAATATTCTCTAGAGTAGAAAGCTTTCAAATCACTTCCCAGCATTAATACCTTTAAAAAAAAAAAAACTGAGTTGCATTTGGAATTTCCTGGATTCTTCTATTTGTCATGCAAATATTCAGTTCTGCTCTTTTTATGATAATATGAAATAAAGTAGTTTCTCATAGTAACATTGTAAATCATTTGCTTTCTATTACATACAGCTGGTTTTGTTACTGTAATGATTTTCTATGAGTGCACATTGCAGAATGCATAAGATGCAATGTGATATTCTTTTATTTAGAATTTATACGTAATTATTATTTGCCCAGAAATAATGAGACATTTGGAAATACAGTAATTTATTGTAATGCATTTCTTTTTAATATGTATCTATAATGAGGAAAAAAAATCTTAATTTCTGAAAATGAGATGCCATCTCTTTTTGTTGTAGAGACCAGAGTTTTCATCTCACTGAAAATTCAGAATCAAAATCAAAAACAGCTGAGGTAGTTACTCGGGTGCCTTCCTTCAGCTTATTCAAAAGAATATAGGATGAACGGTAAGAATTAAGTAAACCACAAATTATTTTGGAGTGTCTGGTTTGCATTATAAATAAATTTTTCACTGCTGGTTGTTTTTTCAAAAATATCGCCTGTATTTTTGATATTCATTCCTGTGATCTAATGTAAACTATGTCCTACCAGTTTAATGTATTGTTTGTTCATGATTACATTTTTTATTACACTCATATGCTATAAATATTTCTCACTCTGCTCTTCTGGCTCTTCCCCAAATACCAATAGTCTTTAAGACATGTTGGGAAAAGTGTTGTTAAGAGAGCAGTCCTCCTTTTGCGTTGGCACATACTAATTTCACACCTTGAATAGAGTCTAACCACATCAACAACAAAGTATTGATTTTTAAGACATGGAATTAAAGATTATTTATTAAAAGGAAACAGCAACAAAAAGTCAAAATAGAGTGTCACTCTGCCAATCTGGCATCAGAAGTTTCTTCCTTATTGGTCTGGACAAGAATTTTTAAATACTTGGTGGTAAATTTGCATTAGTTTGTACTTTGAGAAAATCAGTGTAGGTTAGTGTTTGGTTTTGAAGTCTAAATACTTGCAAACCTTGAAATGGTAAATTTATATAATATTCCCATATTTCATTCTTAATTACAAAGGTAGTATCACCCTTCACAATGCATCACATATGATAAGGAAGAAAGAAGACTTCTAGTCATTGGCTGTGGGCCACATATTTTAAAAGGGTGTTTAATTCTCACTACAACGTTCTGTTTCATTCTCATTTTCTTGGTAGTTCTGTGGCTCCACATGAAGAAGCAGAAAGTTTATGAGAGGGGGCAGTGCACCAAGAAAGATTTGGGGAGGCAGGTATGATGGAGAAGACTGTCTTCTTGGAGAAGGACATCAGTGACGGAGGGGCCAGCATGATGCCGACTGTGCCCAGAGAAAGCCACGAGCACCCTCTGCGTGGGGTCACCTTGTTGGTGGATGTAGGCACACATGGAACCAGCCAGAGCAGCAACATGAGAAAAACCTCTCCACGCAACCAGCCAGTGACCAGTTAGCTACCTTCCTCCTCCCAGAGGTGTTAGTCCTTCCAAGGGGGAAGGGGCATCCCGAACCATGTCTCCTCCCCCTCTTGCCTTACTCCCATTTAGAAGGAAGGACATTAAGTAGAGTTCCCTGTGCTATACGGTATGTTCTCATTAGTAACCTATTTTATGCATAGTATCCATAGTGTATATGCGTCAGTCCTAATCTCCCAATTCCTCCCTACCCCCCCACCCTTTCCCCCTCGGTGTCCATAGGTTTGTTCTCTATATCTGTGTCTCTATCTCTGCTTTGCAAATAAGATCATCTAAAGGAAGGCCAACCCACCTCTCACTCCCAGGTTCCTTAAGCCACACAGCTGGGTGAGGGAAGGTTGGGTGAGTGCTTTGAAGAAGATATAAATTGAACTTTATAAACTAGATCACATAGACTTGTGTTTTAATTCCAGACTGGCCAGAATATTATGAGAGCTGCTGAAGTTATTCTGAAGGGATGTGTAGGCCATTAATTTCTTTAAAAGCCACCAGAAAACCTATCGATCAAGCCAAGAGAAGTTTATTGAATCTACTGCAATAAGAGAACAGACAAGAGTACTGGAGTGAGTTGCTCCAGGGGAATCTTCCCAACCCAGGAATCGAACCTGGGTCTCCCCCATTGCAGGCAGATTCTTTACCGTCCTAGCCACCAGGGAAGCCCAATAGAGAATACCACCTTGATAAAGTCTCAAAGGGGTGCCTCAAAGCGGGGCAGTTGGGAAGGGGCCTAAGGCTCTGGGCTGGTAACACTGGGGCAAGTGCTGCAAGGCAGGAATAGCAGTCAGTGTTTAAGGGCAGGCTGTTCATGATGTATCAGCTTTGGCTAAGTGCAAATAAAGGCTCCCATCTCACAATGAGCAAGTAGCTAGTCTTGATCAGTAAGCTATTTTGTTTACTCTTGTCTTTCAGAATGGGTTTATGGTGTAATCTTCCAAAACAAGTCTTTTCTGGACCAAACAGCCAAGTGATTTTGCTTGATCTTGGTAATATTTAACACAGAGACAGGACATTTTCCCTGGCTTATTAAACAGATAAGACATTACAAGCTTTCCAATGAGGAAGAGAAACTTTCCCAAAGTAATGTTAAAAGCAGTGGTTGGATTAGCATAAATCCATTTCATGTGTATGCCCTACTCTGTTGAGATTTTGAAATAAGTCAGTTATACTTTATTATTATCCTTATTTGCAATTATAATCTAAACTTGTCCAAGATCACAAAATGAAACAGTGGAAGAGTCAGGATTCAAATCCAGGTCTGTGTAAGAACCCTCTGGCTGAGAGATTTGTTCCCTCCTCCCCTCCCACCCCCACTGACTACCTGGATTGGTACTCTCTGACCTTAGAAGTCTTTCATCCCCACTCCCCCACTCGGCACTGTACCATACTATCTCTAATGAAGGTAGAGCTAAGCCATTTTTCTTAGCAGAGCTACATTATAACTTTCTTTTTTCCTTTAGTGCTTAAAAAAAGAATATGTCCTTGGCAGGTCACATGTTGGAACATCCTTATGTGCTGTCTTGCCTAGTCCCTTATTTCTGTCTTTTCTCTTTAATAACATTGCAGAAAGCTGAAGCTGCTTCTTTTACTTCTTTGATATCTTCCAGCACTTATAGGGTGCTGAGCATAGATTGGGCTTTCCAGGTGACACTGGTGGTAAAGAACCCTCCTGCCAATGCGGGAGACAAAAGAGACGTGGGTTCAGTCCCTGGGTTGGGATGATTTCCTGGAGGAGGGCATGGCAACCTACTCCAGTATTCTTGCCTGGAGAATCCCATGGACAGAGGAGCCTGGTGGGCCTCAGTCCATAGGGTCGCAAAGAGTCCAACATGACTGAAGTGACTTACCATGCACACAAGCATAGACTAGGAACACAATGCTACATTGAATGAACTTGAANCACGACTGAGCGACTAAACTGAACTGAACTGATAGGAAGTGGGGTGAGGATGGAAAAATGTGTGTGTGTGTGTGTGTGTGTGTGTGTGCTGGGGTGGGTGGGTGGTGGTGGTGGAGGTACTTCTTACCCTGAGAACATTCTTCAGAAGCTGTAGCCTTTCAATGCTCCTCACCTGCCCTTCCTCACCTCCACAGATTACCTTCAGACCTTCTGGCTGAGCTTTTACTGTTTAGGGTTGCCACAAAGATTCGTATCAGTTGATTTTTTTTTTACCTGACTTAAAAAACATGCAACCTGGGACCTTATGCTACGTTGTTTCTGGAGGGTCAGTGTCATCTAGGGCCAGCTGGAAATCCAACAATTTTCGCGAAAATACTTGCTTTCCCTTAGATTTTGAATTGTTAAAAGATGAAGGGAATCAGCACATGGGCGCCAGAGGTCACTGAGTGCTTTTGATGGTTTATTTTGAAGTTTAGTGACGCAGACTGTCCTGTCAGCATTTTAATGGTGCTCACGCACTGTTTCTTCTCTGAGCAGGCAGCGAGGTAGTTAGAAGTGGTCCTTAACCGCGAGGAACGGATAGTGCGTCCACCCAGTTAAAAACGTCAAAACAAAGGGGCCATGTGCATCTCAGACTCTGAGAAACCATTTGTTCTGTTTCCAGTGAAGATCAACCAGCAGAGCAGAGTGGAAAACTGGGCAATTTTTTCAGATCCAAAAGCTTTGATTTCAAATTACCTAGAAAATATATGGGTTGCCTTTTTGTGGCGATGTCAACACTGAAGCAATTGTTGGAGTCATTTAGCAAACAGCTTTAATTATCTATTTTGTTAAGTGATCAGACTTAGCAACAAATGCAGGGAATTCAGAAAAAAAAAAAATCCATTCTTCCATGAGGGTAATTTGATGCAGAAACAGGCTGTTTTTATCTGACAGGTGACACATACTCCACTGCTTCGGAGAGAAAACACATTCCCTCTCTGTCTCTCTGCTTCTTACTTCTTGTCTCTTCTTTGGTTTTTACGTCTCTCCACCTACCGTCTACTTCCTGTACAAAGTCATTGTTTTACTGCTCTGAGTTCAAAATGCTTGGAGTTGTATAGACAAAACATTTCACGGTTTGATAAAGAAATTGCCCTTTTTAGACAAGGCCATGTTCAAGTTACTGCCTACAGCGTCATTATGGTTTCTTACACATTTCCCTCTTTGGAGCCTCTCATTTCAAACGACACCCTTTTAACCAGAAAAAGAAACTAAAATGACTTGCCCTGGGTGGGCTTTGAGGAAGGGCCTTTTCTCACAAGACCCTCGTGAGGCCACATGAATGTCACAAAGGCTTTTCAGGTAAGGGGTCTGACACTGTCTAGATACAGAAGCTCTGCAGAGAAATTTTTCTCGAAGCATTTTTGGGCTAGGAGGGAACGAACACCCCACCCTGATCCTGAAGAATGTCACCTGCTCCTCAGCTTTTATCTTTGTTTGGTTTTCAGGGAGTTGGCCTCGGACTTGATAACGGGTCCCGTGCATGTCCTGTGACCAGACCTTCTTGTACCTGATCCCCGTGTTTTGCCTTCTCATTGCCCACCCTCTCCTTTGTCTCCTTGCTCTGACCTTGGTTAATTAACCTCATTAGCTCAGGCGACACACACCTCTAGCGGAGGCCAGCTGTACCCTTCAGGCACACGGCTGCCCCCTCCCGATGCGGCCGCTGTGAGCCCGGGCCCAGCTAACCCAGAACAGACACCTTCACTTGGTTAGCGTCTTCCCTCAGGGAGCCAGAGTTGAGTTCAAGCAGGTTAAAGCATTACATTTGTAAATTTGTAAAGGATCAAGTTGTGAGAAGGAGGGCAATCTTGTTCTTTGAGACTTTATTAGCCAGTAAATGCAATATGATACATTTATAGGAGCGAAGACCCAGATTTTCTGAACTTCGCTGAGCCAGAAAGATGTGTTTTATTTCACAGAGTTTATGGAAGAACTGCAGCGCAGGTATGTTTTTACAAGACATGACACTGACTTGAGGTAATCATAAAGTAAAAATGGAAAATGACTACCTTCAGGTCTAAGTATAATTTATATACGAATTCACCCGATCAAGTGCAAAGACCCCAAGCCAGATGTTTTTAATTTTTGCTTTAATTTTTAAGCTCTTTAGTTGCTTTCTTGATGTAAAAAAAAGTTGGATTAACTTTTATAGAATTATTGCTTATAAGCTGGTATCATAGTAGAATGCACTGACTATGGCAACTAACATTCCTATCAGTAAAAAGTGGCATGAGGTCATGTGACAAAGTAGATCAGAACACTTTACAGCTTGTTATCATTTTTCTAAGGAAACAGAGCTACTGAACCTTTTAGATGGAGAAGCTGAACATGGGCAAGAATAGCTTTACAGATAATCCCAAAATTCTAGAGCTATGTGAATGACACAGGTCTTCTTTGATATTGTTGTTTTTTTATTATGTATTCTTGCTATTTTCCCATACTAGTTTAGTCTTTTCATGGCTTCTGAAAACTAAATGTTCTCAAGGGATTGTTGTTGCTCAGTCACCAAGTCATGTCTGACTCTTTGTGACCCTAAGGACTGCAGCATGCCAGGCTTCCTTGTCCACTATCTCCTGGAGTTTTCTTAGATACATGTCCATTGAGTCAGTGATATTATTTAACCTTCTCATCCTCTGCTGACCTTTTCTCCTTTTGCCTTCAATCTTTCCCAGCATAAGGGTCTTTTTCAATGAGTTGACTCTTTGCATCAGGTGGCCAAAGTATTGGAGCTTCAGCTTTAGCAGCAGTCATTCCAATGAATATTCAGGGTTATTTCCTTTAGGATTGGCTGATTTTATCTCCTTGCCAACCAAGGGACTCTCAAGAGCCTTTTCAAGGGGAAAACTTACAAATTTTAAGACCAGCATATGCTAAGTTGCTCAGTCATGTCTGACTCTTTGTGACTCTATGGACTGTAGCCTACCAGCCTCCACTGTCCATGGGATTCTCCAGGCAAGAATATTGGAGTGGGTTGCTATTTCATCCTCCAGGGGATCTTCCTGACCCATGGATCGAACCCATGTCCCCTTCTGTTCCTGCCTTGCAGGCTGATATTTTACAGTTGAGCCACTGGGGAAGCCCAGATAGATAGATGGTTACCCTTAATTTCAGATCTCTTGTTTATCATTTATATGCTGGAAAATTAGCTGACTTAGCAAGAAGTTTGCAAGGAAAGCCATAAACTTAGGTACTTAACTTAAAA